CTAGTTCTAAAATTTTCCATATAAAAGAAAACGTGTAAAAATATAGTAGGTAAAAAGGTTATTTTCTTTGACACAGCAAATGAAACATTTTCACGAAAATTATGAATAAAATCATAAGAACACTTTGTAAGAGCACGCTTGATAATAAATTTCTTTGACGAACGACTCAGAAATACACGTGGATTCCTGGGATATAACGTGATTTTAAACACGTAGCACTCACCCCCAATAATTGAAAGAGAAGGAAAGTAATCTAACCAAGGTACCGATCGTCGTTAGCCATTGTATCTCAAGTATTGAAGATCGTAAACTCGATGGTGCAAATGTGAGTAACAGTGACATCTGTGGAAAAGTAAAAGCAATATATTTTTTTATATCTTACACCACCGATAAGGTAAAAAAAAAGAGACAAAACGGGAATATATATACATATAGCTATCGAACTATGCAGTACAAGAAAAAAAAAAAAATTGATAATCAATGTACAAATTGATCGGTAATATTCGAATTTAAATTGCGAAGTTTTAAAATGATTCTAATCTGTACACGAACTTAATAGGATAAAAATAATAAACGAATAAAGTATTTAGATTTCATGAATGATAAATTTCAGCAAATATTTTCATTTCTTTCTCTCTTCTCTTTTAGATTTCTCTTTTTTTCACGATGGAATGATATTTTCACACTAAGTGCCAAATTAACTCGTTCAAAAGTTAGAAAGGACGAACGGCATTTTTAATTTTCGGCTCACGGTCAATCGAAAGTTCGAAAAGCCACGATGAAAAATCGAAAAAATGGGTGAATGCTCGATGACACGAAAAGAGAAAATGCATTGATGAAAATATCGGACGGGAACAGGTAGTTCTGTTATCGAGCGACCTGGTGACCTCTCGTCGAGGAATTGATTATTTCAGGAGAAGTAGCACGAATAAGCGGTAGTTAAGGAGACGTAGTCTGCGATGGAGAGTCGCTCGGACAGTATAAAGGATCCGATTTATTATCCATCGATGCAGGAGGTCGCAGAGGGAAACGAAACGGTGGCGGAGACCGAAACCGAGAAAAGGAGCAGAAGTTCTGCTGGCAGCCAGGAACTTGGCTTGGAAGAGGGCAACGCGTTGAAAGTGCCGCGCAAATTCATCACGAACTGGCGACAAGCTTGTGATCGTACACGCGACAGAACGAAAGATTTATTGAAGAGATGGCGAGCCGTTTCGGCTAATGTCGATGAAATCGTTAGTGATCCAGCTTCCAATAAAGAATTGGAACATCCCGGTTGGAGCGTGCATGTTTGGAGTAAGATCTTGCAATTTTCACTCACAATGCTTGAAACGTTAGACAACATAATGATAGAACTTGAAATAGAACAAATAGGATAGGAGACGATAAGAATAGAGATTATTTTCATTACATATGTGTACTACATGTTTTTACAAGTATTCATATGCATTAAAACGCATTATTGTCATTATTATTTATATATTAATCAAATATTCTTCTTTCTCCTTTTTGTTTTTTCTTCTCTTTTCCCTGTTTGTTTCTCCGTTTGTATTTCCGACGAAACAGCAACTTGGGTCAGTCGATATCCGAGCGACGAGAATCTGATCGCTATAGAAGCGAAGAGGGGAGGAAAGTTGAAGGATCTGGCGCCCATTCAGCGCGACAAATTTTCACATTTTTTCACTTATCTGTTGGACCACGACAGAGATGGTTTTATCAATCGAAAAGATTTCCGAATGTTTTCAGAGGTACATGTATCAACCGATGTAGCAACCAGCGATATTGTCGAAAATGTTTACATTAATAATTTTCATCACTTTTGAAAGCGACTCAGAAGATTCGCGGACTGGTCGTGGAACGGGCCCGAAAACTTGCGACTGATAGAGGCGGAGCAAGGACTCGCGGACTTGATATTTCAACAGAAGAAGCAAGAAGCTGACCGAGAAAAGAGCATTAGCTTGGAAGAATGGCTATGTTGGTGGGCGCGTGTCGTCGCACCAGCCGGTGGCGCGTCTTACAACGAAATTCCATTTTGGTTGAAAATCTTGCCACGGATACTTTTCCTCGCTATCAATAGCGCCGTGAATGGAGTGATCTCGAAAAGAGAGCTTGGATCGTTTTATGGATCAGTCGTCGGCCTCGATTCTGATAGGATCTCCAAATGTCTGGATGTAGCATATAATTCTCTGACCTCGGTATGAAGCTACAATATAATGTGTG